GACCACCTGATGAAGCCCGAAAAGCCAGAAAAGCTTCATGGCTGTGGTCTCCGTTTGTCGGTAAAATACCATTGTTACTAAAAGTTAGTTTGTTTACGTTGAGCTGAATATACGTAGGACCCTTCACACCCTTCAATCTTAATCAGGCTTTCTGAGAACAATAAAGTTGGAGTTGACTACCTTAGCTACACCTTGCCCCTACTCCAATGGTTTCTTTTAGTTTCTTTAGTTTTAATTAAGTCTATTTTGATTATTTACCGCCAAAGTTAGATAAATATACTTAAGTAACTGCTAAAAACTATATATAATGTGCATATATATAGTATATATATACTACTATATACTCAACTAATACCACCGGTCCTGTGAGACAGAAATCTGGGGCAAGTGGTGTCTAAGATGGTCGACTACAACTTTATTGTCACCGGCTTCCTTTAGCCATGCAAAAATTGGAGGACACGAGTGTGGGACGATTAATGCTCATAGTAGTAATAGGAGCGAAACCCCGAACCAAGTCAATTACAGTTCCACTAGTTGTCCTGTGTCATAAAAGCCCAGAACGACTTGAAATCAGAGAATTCCGGCTCTCAGGAAAAATGTGATGCAGGTGCACTCGTCTGTTTGAATGGAATTTCTCATCCTTGGTCATCTCCCTCCTCAACTTGTGTGTGCGTTGTTTTTGGAATGCACCTTAAAGTAAAGTCGCTCAGCGAACAATGTGGTCTCCATCCCTCCACATTCTCCTAGTGAATGTCCTTGGGTTGTGGCCTCTACCACGCATTGTAGCTGGTAGGCAACGATGTTTGAAATTAAGTGTACATGATGTACTCTCAAGATGATTTAAGTGCACTTTATTTTCCATGATTAATTTTGGACTCATCAGAGGGAGGCTGCCAAACCATTTTGGATGCGCGTTACAAAAATATTTCATTTTTAAACTCACATTCTACTTTCATAAGCTTTTGACTTATATATATTATAGTATTTCAGCGTAGACAGGCAACTCTAGAATAGCTATTTCTGAGTTATTGGCCGTCATCAGCTAGAGGTAGCCAACTCTAGTGTAGCCGCTGAAATTGCTGACACACTCGAGTTGCGAACTCGCATCTCGCCGGTTAGGGGCAAATTCTCTAACCATTGAGCTACGAGCCCGCTATATATAAACGTGTATATACGTCGAACCTTCTTTCTACATATACGTGTATATTTAAAAACAGAATATGTCCCGCGAAGTTTTCTGACAATACACCAAATAGTTGTTTTGTTCAAAAAAGTATCATGCGACGTACCCAAACCATCCATAGCCTTCTTCAGGACTTCAGCGTCGTGGTCAGCATTGAAGTTAGGATAGGGTTTCAGAGCGGGCTTTGGGACGCGTCCATTAACTTCAACTCGTCGCTGCATTTTTGATTTAAGTAGAAATGACCTGCAAGTCAGAGGTCTATTTAGTAAAATCCATTTGTGCTCACGATAATTTATGCATATATATATATATATATATATATGATAAAAGGGATCCAACAAAGCAAATGGAGACCGGAATGGCCATTTTTGGCTTGTTAGCCGTCATCAGCCAGTTATACCCAATCTTAATGGTTGGAATCCCTGAGCTTCGAACCCGGGACATTTGGTCATTGAGTTTACCATTCTACCACAGCAGCACGGGCTCGTTGCTTTGTTCCTCTTCTAGATCGGTGAAGCAAATATATTCACATACATATGTAGAGAAGACGGGAAAGCGGCATTTCTTCTATTCAACTACCTGGACCTCGCATCTTTTCGCCTATTCAGAATATATATGCATATGAAGAAGTGGATCCGACAAAGCAAAGGGAGACCGGAATGGCCATTTC